AACTGACCTGATGACTGAGTAGCTAACTGACTGGTTAATTGACCAGGTGACTGACTTGTTATTGACTGACGTATCGGTGACTAACTGGGTGACTGACATGTTGGCTAATTGGTTGACTGATTGTTTTGATGACTGACTAGTTTACTTGACTGACGTGCTGACTGATTGGTTAACTAGTGACTGATTAGTGATTTCTTTATAGATGTCAACACAATCTAATGAAAAAAGTGTGTATTACCTTCTTTGCAGAGACTTTGCAAAACCGTGTTTTTGAGTCTGATTTGAGCTAGAAAAAAATAAGTTTTTTTCTCTCTTGGGTCGTATTTCGCTGAAAATATTGCTCCTGACCTAGACTAACTATTTTTAAATAGATTTCAACACATTCTAATTTAAAAAATACATTTCGTCTTGCATCTAGAAATAGTTTCCAAAACCGGCGCCACTGAGTTATTTGTCTCTGACTGACTAATGGCTGACTGGATGACTGACTGGTTTATTTAGTCACTGGTACTCCACCAATTCACCCGACTGCCTTGCTGACCAAGTCTTGTCTGACTAGCTAACTTTCTGACTGACTGACCGGCTAACGGCCGGCTAACTGACAGGTGACTGACTCGTTAACTAACTGGTTGGTAACTGACCGACCGACTGACTGACTGGTCGACTAACTGGTCGATTAACTACTCACTGACTGGCTAACTGCATAGTGGACTGACTCACTGGTACCTGACCGGCTGACTGACAGGTCGATCGACTCACTGGTATCTGACTGGCTATCTGACTAGTTGACTGACTTGGTGACGGACTGTTGAATAACTGGCCAACTGACAGTTTGACTGACTGACTGACTGACTGATGACTGACTGGCTGACTGATGATTGACTGGCTGACTGACCGGTTTACTTAATCAATGATAATCGACCCGCTAGCTGACTAGCTGACTTACTGGCTGAGTGACTGGTTGACAGCATCATTGGTACTTGATCGGCTTACTGACTTAATATCCTTTCATTGACTGAGTGGCTGACTGAATGGTTGGTAGAAGGGTCGACTGACTGCTTGACTGAAGACTTGCTAACCGACCGGTGCCTACCTGGGTAAATGATAGGCTGACTGACTGCTCGACTGACTAGCTGATACCTGACCGGCTGACTGACTGACTGTTTAACTGACTGGCTGGTACCTGACCGACTGACAGACTGCTTGACTGCCTTGCTAACCTACAGGTGAGTGAGTGGCTAACTGACTAAGTGACTGACTTGTTGACTGGCTGCTTGACTGAATCACTGTTACCTGTCCAGCTGCAAACCTGGTTGACTGCCAAGTTAACCGACTGGTAACTCACTGGCTAACTGACAGAGATTAACTGGCTGCCTGACTAGTTAACTGTGTGCTTGACTGACTCACTGGTACCTCAACGGCTGGCTAACTGGTTGACTGACTGGTTGAGTGACTGACTCAGTTAATGGTTACTGAGTGGTACCTGACTAGCCATATGACTTGTTGACTGACATGCTGACCGACTAACGACGGGCTAATTGACTAATGACTGAGTGGTTAACTAACTGGTTGGTACCTGAGCTTCTGACTGACTGGTTCACTGACTGACTCAGTTAATGGCTCCTTACCGGCTATCTGTCTAGATCACTGACTCACTGGCCATCTAATCTGTTGACGTGTTAACGACGGGCTAATTGACTAGTGACTGACCGGTTCACTGGTTGACTGACTCACTGGTAGCTGACTAGCTTACTGACTGGTTGAATGATGGGTTGACTGACTGCTTGACTAACTTGGTCGATCACCAATTGGTAACTCACCAGCTAACTGATTGGCTTACTGACTGACTGACTGACTGGTTGACTGACTCACAGGTACCTGATCCGCTGGCTGACTGGTCGACTGACTGGTTCAGTGACACACTGGTTCCTAAACAGCTGACTAACTGGGTCACTAACTGATTGACTGATGGTTACTGACTAACGGTTACTGACTAACAGTTACTGACTGACTCAGTTTGTTGTTGACTGAGTCATCGGTACCTGAGTGCCTGTCTGACTGGCTAACTCACTCGTGACCGACTAGTGACTGACTGTCTAACTGACGACTGAGTGATGACTGACTAAATGACGGATTCGTTGACTGACGCACTGGTACCTGACGGGCTCACTGACTGGTTCAGCGCTTTGCTCACCGTCTGCTTATGGACTGGTTAACTGACTAGTTACTGAGTGTCTGACTAACTGGGTGAGTGGCTCACTCACTGGTCTACTGCATGATTGACTGACTGCTCGACTGACTATTTGACTGACTTCTTGACTGACTGCTTGACAAACTGTTTGACTGACTTGCTGATTCTTTGATGAAATACTGACTTACTGATTGGTGACTGTCTGCCTGCCTGATTGACCAGTTGACTGGTGACATGCTGGTACCTGAGCCGGTGATGGACTGGTTGAGTGCCTTGCAGACTGACTAGATACTGACCTGGTAACTGACTAGGTGACTTTCTGGCTGACTTTCTGGCTGATTGACTGCTTGAGTGGCACTCAGACAACTGTTTTGCGTGCCCCATCAATGTCGCTTATGTCCTTGGTAAGTCCGGTCAGCATCGTTCGGACGTTCCAGTGGTAATTAATTGGCTATGTGACTGGTTAACTGACTGGCTGACCGACTTGTGACTGAGTGGCTAATTGACTGGTGACTGACTGGCTGACTGAAGTGTTGACTGACTCAATCATACTTCATTGACTGGTTAACTGAGCTCCTCACCGACTGGTGAATGAGTGACTAAATAATTGGTGATTGACTGGACGAGTGGCGGGTTTACCGTCTGCCTAACTAAATGGTTCACTGACCCAGTGGTACTTGACTGGCTATATGACTGGTTAACTGGCTGGCTGAACGATTGGAGACTGAGTGGCTTAATGATTGGTGACTGACTGGCTGACTGTATGGTCGGCCGACTGGATGACGAAAGGGTTGACTGATGGAATGGTACTTGACTGGATATCGGACTGGTTAGCTGACTTGGTTACCGACGGTGAGTGAGTGGCTGGTTGACAGGTGAGTAAGTCACTGGTTGACTGACTGGCTGACTTGAAGAGTGATTGACTCAATAGTACTTGAATGGCTATCTGTCTGGTCAGCCGACTTCCTGACCGACAGACTGGCTGACTGACCGGTCGACTTCCTCGGTGGTGCCTGAGCAGCTGACTGACGAGTTAACTGACTCAGTAGCTCCTGACGGCTATCTGATTGGTTGACTAACTGGTTGACTGACTGGTTAACTGACTCGCTGACCGACTGGTGACTGACTATCTTACTGATTGGCTAACTGACAGAGAAAACTGCTGTACTGAATGACTAGTTGACTGACTTACTAGGTATCTGACCTGCTGACTGACTGGGTTACTGCTTCACTCACGGTTTGGTGACTGACTGGCTAACTCACTGCTACCCGACCGACTGAGTAACTGGTTGACTTACTGACTTATTAATTACTCACTGGCCTTTGAAGGGGCTGACTGACTGGTGGACTGGTTGACTTGGCCCATTTCACTCGGGCCAAATTTCGCAGGAAAGAGAGGATATCATCTGGATTTTAGCGTTTTCTCACAGCTTTCAAGACAACCTATTCAAAAGAATCGCCTTTGTCTTGTTTGCAGATACTTTTATCAAAACCATGTGTTCTGCGCGAGTTGAGCAAGACTTGACCTAATTCTTTCTCTGGCCAAATTTTGGAGGAAACATCGGGTATCAACCGAACTTTAGTGTTTTCATACAAATTTCAACAAAATCCACTGAAAAAAGTCGGTTTTGGGTTCTTTGCAGATACTTTTTCCAAAACCGTGTTTTTAGCGCGAGTTAAGCAACACTTGACCCATTTCACTCTGTGGCCAAATTGGGAAGGCAACAGCAGGTATCACTCAACTTTTAGTGTTTTCTTAGAGATTTCAACACAATCTATTAAAAACAATTGGTTTTGTGTTGTTTGCAGATGCTTTTTCCAAAATCGTGTTTTCACCATCAGTTGAGTAACACGTGACCCATTTAACTCTGTGGCCAAATTTTGCATGAAACATCGGCTATCAAGCAAATTTTCGTGTTTTCTTACAGATTTCAATACAATCTATTACAAAAAATTGGTTTGGGGTTGTTTCCAGATACTTTTTAAAAAACCGTGTTTTCAACGCGAGTTGAGTAACACTTGACCCCTTTTACTATGTGGCAAAATTTGGCAGGAAACATCGGGCATCAACCAAAACTTAGTGTTTTCTTACACATTTCAATACAATCTATCCAAACAAGTTGGTTTTCGCTTGTTTGCTGATACTTTTTGCAAAACCTTGTTTTCAGCACGAGTTGAGCAAGACTTGACCCAAATCTCTATCTTGCCAAATTTCGCAGGAAACATCCGGCATCAAGGAAATTTTAGTGTTTTGTTACAGATTGCAACACAATCTATTCAAAAAATTGGTTTTGGGTTGTTCGCAGATACTTTTCGCAAAACCGCTTTTTCAGCCCGAGTTGAGAAAGACTTGGCCCATTTCACTCTCTGGCCAAGTTTCGCGGAAAAAATCGGGTCTCAACCAAATTTTAGCGCTTTCTTATCGATCTAAACACAACGTAGTAAACATATTTGGTTTTGGCTTGCTTGCATATAGTGTCAGGAATCTTCCAATTGCCTCTAACACAAGAGATTTTCCCGATAACATTCACGTTAAAATGACCCAAAAAAAACAAAACACTCGCTCAATCACACATCGCCTCGCACATGGTTATATTTTTTCTTAAAATCTAATCTTACATCACGTGATCAATGGGTAACAAGAACAAAGGGAACAAAGTTTACTTCCACAGCGTGACAGTCACGCAGTCCAATTCTCAACACTCTCCCCCCATTTGTCTCGAGAGAGCAAATGTCTTAGAGGCTATCTTAATCTCAGTTGACAATGCTAAAATGAAAATCACAATAAACGAAAATTGAAACAGTCTCTCTAGTTTTCATTTTCCATTTGTGCAAGTTCCTGGATATGAGCTCTGGCAACAACCGCAGTGTTTCTTCGTGGTCTAAAAGCTGGCACGGTAGGATTGAGAGATGGTGGTCCCACTGTCATGTCACAGGTGAGTTCAAGTGGATATAAATGCTGTATTGGGCGCTCAATGACTGACTTGGGAGTGCGTAGCTTTGCTCCTCGGATCACACCATCTCGGCCAATAATCAAGTCGATCACCACTCCCAACTTCCACTGAGCACGGTTTTTCGCATCGGACTTGATGATAACCACATCTCCTTCCACTGGATGGGCACTGTCACCCTTGTGCTTTAAGCGGTGTCTCTCCCGGAGCCCCCTCAGGTATTCTTTGGTCCAGCGGGACCACACTACATCTTTGCACTTGCCCAAGTACTTTGCACGCTTTCGGAGGTCATAGTCTTGGATGTGGTTTGGCTCCAACTCTGGCAGTGCGTTCGGTTGCATGTGCAATAAGGAACTCGGGGTAAGGATGGGCAGTTCAGTGTCATCTTCTACGTAATTTAGTGGCCTGTTATTAAGGGCAACTTCCACATCCAGCAGCACTTCTTTGAGTTCGTTCCACGACAGCAATCCGTTTCCGATAGACTTGTACAGGGACCCTTTGACCAACCCGATCAATCTTTCAAACTGGCCGCCCCACCAGGGCGCACGACTGAGATTGAATTTCCACTCGATCCCTTGCTGGGCTAGGAACCCATAGATCCTCTCATCTTTCATTACTTGCTTAACCCATTTGGATGCACTGACGAATGTTTTGCCATTGTCAGAGTAGATTCGCTGTGGCCTTCCACGTCGGGCGATAAAGCACTTTAAGCTTTTGATGAACTCAGCGGTCTCAAGGTTTGGCACAAGGTCTACATACACGGCACGTGTAAGGCTGCAAGCATACAATAGGATGTACGCCTTTCCTTCCGTTTTAGCCTTCTTCCGGTACCGCAACGGTCCCGCAAAGTCCACTCCAATGACTTGGAAGGGCGTTTGACCCACTGTGCGATCCCTTGGAAGGTTCCCTGGTGGAGGAGAGGTGTAGGCCTGCGCCCTGAACCGCCTACATCCATGACAAGCCTTCACAATCCTTTTAGTCAATCTTCTCAGGCGTGGCACCCAGTAGTACTCTCGTACTTTCGCCATCGTACTACCAACTCCCCCGTGTAGCACTGCAACATGGGCCTGGGCCACCAACTTCTCAGTGTACCGTTGTCTATCTGGTAGGAATATCGGTTAATGGCCCTGAATTCTGCCGCGGCATTCCAGTACTCCATTTTCGTTCGCCTGTAGATTCAGCTGAAGTTTGTCTTCTTGGTATCGCTCATCAGCAGAAGCTCGTGCCTGCACCCGCTTTACCCAAAAGAGCTCTGCTTTCTTTGTTTCAACTGCGGTTAGTGGTCCCCCCAACTTCTTCGTCTGCATGGTGCGAGAGTTCTGGGTGAATCGAGTTATCCATGCAGTCACTCGAATTGCTTTCCAATGGCTGAACTTTTCAAGAAGGTCATCCAGCTCATCTGCCACCGCCACTGCTACTGCTAGCATGTCTTGTTTCACTTTAGCTTCTGCTAATGATGCTTTTGTGGCATTTGTCACTATGTCAGGGGGCCAGCATGCTTTGTCTGACAACCACTCTGGTCCATTCCACCACAAGGCATGGTTGGTCACTTCTCCGCTACGGCTTCCCACATCAGCTGGGTTGTTTGACGTTCTCACGTGATGCCACACTACGTCAGAATGCGCCTGAATCTTCTGAACTCTGTTACTCACAAACTGTTTGTACTCTCCTGGGCATCTTATCCAATGCAAAGCAACGGTGCTATCGAGCCAACAGTACTTCGAGGTTACGGGAAAGCCTTCTAAAGCTTCACTCACATTTGACAGGAGATTTACCGCCATGTGGCCTGACATCAACTCCAACCGGGGTATGGTTAATCCTTTCTTTGCTAATCTTGCCCTTGAAGCCACTAGCCCTTGGTTGACACCCTTCTCTTGCTTCACTACAGCATACACCGCAGCAGCCACGCCTTTCCCGCTCGCATCCCCAAAGGCATGTAACTCAATAGTTTGGATGTCTTCTTGATACGCTGCTAATGATCGGGGTACGGTAACATGGTTTGGAAGTTTCTCCTCCCATCGGACCCAATTTTGCATAAGGTCGCTTGGTAGTCTAGCATCCCAGGCTAGTCTCGCATCGCAGATGTCACGGTAGAGAAATTTGCCACCCAATGTGATTGGTGACACAAGCCCCAGTGGATCAGAGATCTTGGCCACTTTACTGAGAATCCCTCGCTTTGTTGGCTCGGTGCCCTCTGATGGGAAGATAACGCTAATGGTATCACTCTCTTTGTTCCACTGTAGACCGAGTAGAGAAGCTCCTTCCTTTCTTGAGGTACCTAACTGCTCCTTTGCGTATGTTTCCTCTTCTGAAACTGGTACTGGATATGCTGACTCCAACTCCTTCACGTTTGAGTGC